AGCTGCTACCTTCTTGGGGTCCACTTTCAACCCGTTATGCCCCACCACGTGCCCCAAATACTCTAGCTCACGTTTGTAGAAATGACATTTCCACAAACGCGCGTAGTATTTGTGCTCGCGTAATTTTCCGAGGACCCATTTCAAATGTTTCATATGCTCGTCTTCGGTTTTCGAGTATACCAGGATATCATCGAGGTACACCAAGACGAACTGGCCAATCGCATCGCGGAACACATCGTTCATCGCCCTCTGAAAAGAGGCCGGAGCGTTGGTTAAGCCAAAACTTAACACACGCCACTGAAAATGGCCGAACGGCGAACGGAAAGCCGTCTTTGGAACATCGTCCTCTGTTATACGCAATTGGTGATAGCCTTGTGCCAAATCCAATGCACTGAACCATTTTGCACCCTGTAGCCGATCAAATAAATCTTCTATCCGCGGAAGTGGATATCTGTTTTTGATCGTAATTTTATTCAGGGCTCGATAATCGACGCACATGCGCAGTCCGCCCCCTTTCTTGTGAACGAACAAGATAGGTGCTCCATATGGGGACGCGCTAGGTTCTATCCATCCCTTCCTGAGGTATTCCTCAATCTCTTGGTTAGCCTCCTCGTACTCAGCTGGACTGAGGCGATACAGAGGTCTAAATGGTGGTGCCTTTCCTGGTTCCACCGGGATGGTATGGCCGACTGCACGGTCGGGAGGTAACCCGTCCGGAATTGGCTCAAAAACCTCAGAATATTCCTCTGCCAACGCCTTCATTTGAGGTGGGAAATCTTCAATAATCTGTGAAGTAGTTGGTTCGGAGTCTAGCTGTACCACAAAAAGTGTATCAGCTCCCTTGACATGCTCTTTGAATTGGAGAGCCGACGCAAAGCGTACGTCAAGAGCTAATGTTTGAGGTTCATCGTCCAGTGCCTGGCGCTTTGGGACTTGCCATTGAACATCGTCCCATTCTTTGTGAATGAAAGCGTGTTATCTTGGAAATTTAATATCACCTCATTAGGCCGTAGCCAATCCATTCCCAAGACAATGTCTACGCCTGCTAGGAGGGGTAAGACAAAAGTGCTGATGGTCTCCTGATATCCTTGGATATCCAGGTTGACCAATGCATGTCCTCTGCATGGGATGATCCTGTCATCACCCAGGCGAATAGAACAAGATGGTCCTTGAACAGGGACGTTCAAATATTCCATCCACTTCCCATCAATCAATGACGCAGTGGCACCTGTATCAACCAGGATCGAAGCACTACGCCCGTTGACACGACCAGAAAACAACAGATTCTGCTGATGTTTAGGTCGGATAGGACATGCCGTTATATCAGTGGGAGGCAAATAATATGCCTTAATACCGTGTTTGCTACGTCCAAAAGAACGAGCTTGTGTCCACCACACGTGGTGTCCTTTATCCCACTGCGCTAACACACTCCATCCTTGAAGCGCTCGAAATAATTTACCTCGAACTGTGCGCGTTACCATTCCAACCGCAGTTAGAGGGTGCGCTTGGGTGCAACGACCCGCTACATCCATTATCCAAGGCAAATTCTGGTGATCACAAAAGATAATTGAGAATTTATCTCGTAATGATTCAACTGCGATACTTTCCAGTGGGTGAAATCGAGAGGCAAACAAAGAGCTTTCATTAAAAGAAAATGCATACACACATGCAATTTTGCAATCAACAAGGCATTCGAGTTTCAACAACTCCTCATGACTACTGCCTCACCCTCTCGATCTGCTATGCCCGCTAGGTACCCACCCCCTAGTTGGGCTTTGCAAAATCCCGCTGGCTGCCCGAGGGACCACTGCCGTCATTGCGCCTATTGTCCGTCTTAGGCTAGCCAGAGTACTTCACCGACTTGCGGTGGCGGCACTCATAGCCCTTGTGTCCAGGCTTGCCGCACTTGAAGCAGCTCTGGACATTGCTTGGTCCACCCTCGTTGACCTTCTTGGCCTTGTGGTCACCTTGCTGCCCCTGATGGAAGGGCCTCTTGTGGTTCCCGCCCTTCCAAGGCGTTCCCTGCTGCCTTCCGCTAGGACCCGCAGTGCTAGACGACGGCCTTGAAGTCTGCTGCGGCTGGGTAGTGGTTTTGGCATAAGCACGGAAGTGCTTATCAGTGGTCCCCACCACGCGCTTCACGTGATCATAGGACCGCCATGCCTCCCCAGCCCCATCCGTCATATGCATGTTCTTGAGGTGCTCAGGCAGCCCCCTGAAGAACAGATGGATCTTTTCGCCTTCGCTCATACGTTCCGCTGGTTTTTAGAGCACCCAGATCTCCTCGAACTCCACGGCGTACTGCTGCACTGTGCGGTTCCCGCACTGCAGCTTCTCAAGGCGACTGCGCACCTCCAGCTGGGTCGGCTGGACCTGGAAAGCTTTCTTGAGTGCAGAGGCGAATTCCTCCCACCCAAACGGCTTCCTATCCGCCTCAGCCTGGATCTTGCTGCCATACACCACTCGCTGTGCATTCTGGTCCAGCACGGTGGTGGCAGCGACGACGCGAGCGTCGTCTTGGACCTTGTGCGCCTTGAACAGGTCGGTCATCATCGACAGCCACGCAGCCACGTCCGTCTTGCCATGGATGAATGGCGGCAGGGTGATTGGCAGAGAGCCAAAGGCCTGCGTGCTCGGCTCAGCAGCGCGCTGCGTAGAAGGACCGGGGTCACCCACTGCACCACCAGAGCGAGAAGGAGGTTAGTGCGACCGCTAGCAGAGTTGGCAGGCGGGTCCGCTCGTGGTGCAGGGCGATACATGGTCTCCCTTCGAAGGGCATTGAAAGCCTCGCGCAGATCGTTGATCTTTGAGGTCTGCCGCGCCAGCTGATGGACGTGCTCCCGTGCGTCGTGCTTCATGTTCTTGATCTCAACTTCCAGGTACGTGATTTTGTTGTCCTGGTCAGCGAGCTCCCCCCTGAGTGTGGAGATGAGAGACTGCTGCTGCTGGATGCGCGTATCCTGCTCAGCAGCGTGATCCTGCAGCTTAGCAATTTCAGCATGCAGAATATCCTCTTCCCCTTCCAACTCAATGTCATCCTCCTGAGACTCCCCTTCCTGCTCCTTGGAATTTTCAACAGCTGCAAGGTCCCTAGCAGGGGAGTTTTCAGCAGGTTCCTTTTCAGCCATTTCATCATCCATGTTGTTCAGGTCAATCTTCTGCACACAAGCTTCCAGTTCAGCCTGGGAGTTGTTGCCTTCAACACCACCAGCATTGGAGTTGGTAGAAGCCATTTAGAGCAAAGTCACTGTATTATAAAAATGAGTTACAGATCTACTGCAAATTGTTATCACCGCAGTGAATAACCAAGATTTTCTCCAAAGGAGAAATTTCTTCAATAGATCTTACAACCACAACAATGTGAAAAACACCTCTGTTGCAAAATATCCTTACCACCGCAGTGGATAAGGCAAGAACAATCACAAAGTGATTGTCTTCAACAGAGAATGTTATTACATACAGGTTGCACTCCTTCACAGTAGCTCCAATGGTTCCACCAGCAGGGAGGGAGGGAGGGCTTAGACCTCTTTGAGAAGCTTCTTCAAAACTTGAGCTTGAGCTTGTATTCTTCAAAAACTTATAATAGAAATTACAATACAAATCAGAACTTCCCCAAGAAAAAATAAATCCAGAAAATCCTCTTATATGCCCACAAGGCGAGGATCTACTAATAGCTCTGATTACCAATGTAACAGATCTGATAATAAAAAGGGCATTTACCCACTTAATAATAGGTTCTAACACAACCAGAGAGTAGCAGCTCCTGGAAATGTCTAAGTCTGAGAGTTGCTGGGAACTGCAGTAACAAATCTTTGAGGGTGAGTTGAGGAAAAGACAATCCTATTTCCCAATTGATTAGTTGGGAGTAGGAAATGAGGAATGAGCCAAGAGGCTTCAGACCCCTTCCCTAGACCCCCTTGGGGTGCAACCACCTTCCCCATGGCAAGGAGGGGTGCACTCCCTTGGGCCTTGCCCATGTGGCAATTAACAAGATTCTCAACCAATAATATTATACATAGCATGGATAGGAAATGCACAGCAATCACAAACCTGTGTTTGATGTTTATTGGTTGTGTTTGGAGTGAGCGGCGGAAATATTGTCGACTCACTCTTGGGGCTGTGATCTGATTGGTTGAATTAGTGATGAGGTGAACTTACGTGGGTTATGTTTGAACAAGCTCAAACCAATCGCGTAAGTTTGACTCAGGAGCAACTCGATTGGTTGGTTTCCCAATCAATCCTGAATTGTCCGCAAGTCTCGCTTTCCCAACCAACCAGATTTCCCCACCATTCTCCCTCAGTTGGTTCGACGTATCGAGACCAGCTGGGGTTCGTTACGGATGTTACAATGAGCCTATCCAACAACATAGCCCTGCTTTCCCTCTTCCCTGCTTTCCTTCCATTCATTTTATTCCCTGCTTTCCCTCCATTCCCTTCCTTCCCTGCTTCCACGCATGCCTTGCTTTCACTGCTTTAAATGCATCCGTGCTTTCCCTGCATTCCATGCTTTACCCCTTCCATTTCCTGCTTTCCCCTGCAGGTGTGGATTATACAGGAGCAGCTGGCATGCTGCTGCAAGTGGGCCTTGTTTGTCGACTCAGATGCCTACATTCGAATGAACCACCACCGCCTCTCCATTGAAGCCTGGATCCAAAAAATCAAGCAGCCTGTGAGTGCATGTTCGTATCATCCCATCATGCTCCTGCCTACATAGTACATCATACCAGTGGGGCTTTCGATCTTGACTCAGATGCAACATCGTAAACATATACATGAACCACCACAGCATTCGAGATCAGTCGAGGCCATTATGCAGCTTGTGAGTGCATGCTCACTTCCTCTTCAAGCATGCACCAGCCGTTCTTTTCCTGGCCTACAAGAGGGTCAACAGGGTGTGGTTGATCCCACAGAGCACGAACTGTGAAAGATGCACCCCTTCTCACCCTGCCTTACTCCTTCGAACCCCCCCGCACCGCTCCTCACCACTTCCTTGCTTCCAGAACTACTTCAACTGGCTGCTGGATGCCAAACTGACAGATTCCCTGGACGGCCAGGTGTGGATCCCACAGGACCCCGCCCTGCTGCTACAGCCAGCCACTGCACAACAGCTGGAGGGACCCGTGGTTCTGATGCCACGCAACGGGGACGCGCACGCTGGGTTTCATGGGACTGCCGATGTGCTGTTAATGGAGAACCAAGACTATTGCAATTCTGGGGTGCTGCTCTTCAGACGGTCACTGGACTCTTTCCAGGTGAGCTTCTCCAGACGTAAATCAAGTATTTCGGCTTCTGGAACGAGACCGAGGAGGGAGGAAGTAGGGAAATGAAGGGAGGGCTGTTGAATAGAGCTTGCTGCGCTCGCATTGCCGTGTTTTTGAACAGCATGCTTGCAGCCAATGGTTTGCCTTCTCTTGCTCTTGAAGGTGAGGCACGCTCCACAACTCGTGTCCCCTCCCCTTCCACCTCCTCACAGTTCACTGAAGCAGACAAGTTCCATCTGTACAATCGTGTCTGGGAGCAAATGAGCGGAATATTAAGCTGTCTGTTGTCCCCTCCTGTTTCCCACTCCCCTGCAGTTCTTGAAGCAGTGGTACACGATTCCAGAATCAGGCGAGCACTATCGATACAACCACGAATGGGAGCAACCAAACCTGAATGCCGTAGCTCTCCGGGAGCAATGGAAGGAGAAGGTGATAGTGGTGCCGTATGCCGAGCTCACAGGTCCTGACGGAGCCATGATTCGCCACGTGTGGGGTGGTGTGCCTGAGGGGGCACATCACAGGGTGTCGATGGAGGCTCTGGAGGAGATCATGGGGTTGCCGTGGTAAGGGGTGTGTGCGCTTGCTAGAGTGGTAGAAGCACATGACAGGGTGGGCATGTGCTTGTAAGAAGATCCTCCAAGGGGAGCACATCACAGGGTGTCGATGGAAGCTCTGGAGGAGACTGGGGTTGCTGTAGTAAGGCCGTGCGCTTGCTAGAGGAGCCGTGTGTTGGATTTCCCAAGGGAAGCACGTGACATGACAGGGTGGTGGTAGAGGCGCTGGTGGAGGCACAGAGGTGGTTGTGGTAAATCTTTCCACATAGTGGCTGTGTCAGGTTACCCTTGGCCCACACACCCCCGCCCTATTCTCAAAACTCGGTGTCTGCGCTAGGCTGGTCAGGTAGAGCCAAATGTTCGCGTGCTTACCATAATCCCCCGGATATATTACCATAGGGTGTTACCGGTATGCAATGATCCCCTTGAAGCTCCACCGTGGGGGGGGGAGGAGGAGGGGGGTGTTTATACGATATAATTATACAAATGTCAATACTGAACTTGAGGATGCGTTTTTGGTGTGCAAAAAGCCAGCAGAACGTTGTTCGAGCAAAAAGTGTCAAACATATATGCTGCTTATTGTGTAGGCTGTAGTGGGGTAGCCCATATGGGGTACAACCCAAATTAGGGTTTCCTACTTGTACCCATCATGCTGCTAGTTCATTCATTCCTACCGGTAGTTTCTGACATGGTTTCAGAGCAGTAGGTCCGTAGGACCGTTTTTTTTTCGGGCCCACCTACCGTTGTGGTTACTGAGCTGCCCCACGTGTTGCCTGCGCTGCGCCGCCCGCGCGCGCCTTGCCTTGCCTGCGCTGCGCTGCCCGCGCGCGCCTTGCCTTGCCTGCGCCTTGCCTTGCCTGCGCCTTGCCTTGCCTTGCCTGCGCTGCGCCGCCCGCGCGCACGCCCTGCCCTGCCCCGCGTTGCGCTGCCCCGCGCACGCCGTGCCCTGCCCCGCGTTGCGCTGCCCCGCGCACGCTCTGCTCTGCCTGGCGTCGCGCGCCCCCGCTGCCCGTCGCGCTGTGCGCCCATGCAGCCCGTCGCGTTGCCCATCTGCCCTGCCTCTGCCCAACGCGTCGCCCGTACGGGCTGTCCCAGCCCGTCGCGTCGCCCGTACGGGCTGCCTGCCCGTCGCGTCGCCTGTACGGGCTGTCCCAGCCCGTCGCGTCGCCCGTACGGGCTGCCTGCCGGTTGCGTCGCCCGTCCGCCTTGCAGCCCGCGCGTCGCGCCTCTGCTGCCCCGCGCGTCGCGCCCTACGGCAGCCCGCGCGCCGCGCTCTGCAGCCCGCACGTCGCGCTCTGCTGCAGCCCGCGCGTCGCGCCCTGCTGCCCTGCACGAAGCGCGCCCTGCTGCCCGCGCCGCCCAGGCCGAGCCGAGCCGCCCTACCCGACCCGATCCGCCCTCCTGCTCGTGCTACTACTGCTGCTGGTGGAGGTGCTGCTAGGAGTGCTGGAGGTGCTGCAGCCTAGCCTCACCGGGCCGCTCTACTACTCTTGTTGCTGTTGCTGCTGCTCGTGCTGCTGTCTTCCCTCCGTACCGCCCTCCTCCTCGCACGCCTCCTTGCTTACCCGCTATGACTTCCCTTCGTAGTAGCGATGGAAGTGGTGGCGGCGGCGGTGGCGGCAGTGGGAGTGGTGGCGGCGACCATAGTTGCAGTCGCGGTGGAGCTGTTCAGTGCGGAGTTTCTGGCGGTGGCGAGATCCAGCTGCAGCGGCGTCCGAGCGAGACCCTTCCACCCCAGCAGCTTCATGCGTGGTACGCTCAGCGTTGTGCGTCTCGGAGAGGTGGCGGCGCCTGTAGTAGCAGTCGTGGTGGAGCTGGTCAGTGCGGAGTCTCTGGCGGTGGCCAGATGCAGCTGCAGCGATGCTCGCGCGAGACCTTTATGCCCCGGCAGCTGCATGAGTGGTACGCTCAGAGTTGGGGGTGTAGGACTACTGCTCGCTGCCCGTACGTCATTTGCACAGGTGATCGAGCTGGTCAGACTTGCGGGACAGTTAGTCATACAGAGTCCCGCTGCTTCTCCCGTCTGAGCGACGCTTGGCGAGCACGGTTTGGCGACGAGACTGAGCTACCCCTCTGGCTAGAGCTGCTTCAGGACGGAGTAGATATATTTGCCTTAGACTATGACACTATCCTTACTGCCATGTATGCTATGCCTCGTACTTCTGAGGGTGACTGTTACCTGTGTGTGCCCCCTGACCCTGGTATTGTGGTTGCTGCTCTAGGTGCTAGTGAGTCTGCTCTCTCTGGTATTGCGCCTGCTGAGGCCTTGCACACCTTTACACTTGACTCTGGTGCTTCCCGCTGTTTCTTTCGCGACAGTACCACAGTCACACCCCTCCCTGCACCTGTCCCTGTCTCCCTTGTTGACCCCTCAAGGGGCCCAGTGCTTGCACGAGACACGACTGTGCTTCCGTGCCCGGCGGTCCCGTCCGGTGAGCTGTCTGGTCTTCACATCCCCTCGTTCTCTACGAACTTGGTGAGCACCGCCGTCCTTCAGGATCACTGGGTTGACACCTTTACTCCTGGAGGACAGCGGGTGACGCACTGCACGTGCTCTCGGACCGGCCGCCACCTGGCCACGTTCACACGTGCGCCTGGGTCCAGTCTGTACACCCTCACCGCTGTGTCACGCTACACCCCTTTGTCTTCTCAGCTGTACGCGTCTGCTCAGGTAGCTACCCAGTGTGAGTGTCGCATGACACTCTCCTGTGGCACCACCGCCTTGGTCACCCCTCCCTGCCCCGCCTTCGTGGCATGCACTCTCGCTCCCTGGTCTCTGGCCTTCCCAGGACTCTGCCTGCCCTCCCTCCCTCGCCTGCGCTGCCCTGCATTCCTTGCGTCGAGGGGTGGCAGCGCGCCGCTCCTCACTCCTCCTCGTTCCCTCCCACAGAGGCTCCACTGCAGACTCTGCATCTGGTCGTGTGGGGCCCAGCCCGCGTCCAGGGGCAGGGCCGCGAGCGGTACTTCCTGCTGGTCGTCGACGACTACACGCGCTACACCACGGTCTTCCCCTTGTAGCGCAAGGGGGACGTCCCTGCTGTTCTGATCCCCTGGATCCGCACAGCTGTACGTCTCCAGCTCCGCGAGCGGTTCCAGTGAGAGTACGACGGCTTATGCTGGCTTTGCTAGCTTGCCTTTACTTTATTATGCATTATCTAGCTTAGCTTTGCTTTATTTTGCTTGCTTTTGCTAGATTTCCTAGGTTCGTTGCTTTTACTATATTTATTATAGTTATAGGCACCGAACTAGGTTGAGTGCACCGAATTCTAGGCTTTTCGGTTGCCACCGAATTGCCTTCTACCGAATTCGGGAAGGGTCTGTTCGGGACGCTTCGCGACCCTCGGAACCTTCGCGTAACACCTGGTTACCTGCCTTGTGTCGAGCCTATATATAGCCTCGCTTTGTACCCAGGTGAAACATTCAATTCACATTCTCTTTTCTGAGCTCGATCCTAAGATCCTCACACTTGGTAATCAGAGCATGTTTACACGCGAGTTTTTCTACCGCTAAATCCTAGCTTTTAAAACCGCGGGGGCGACGACGAACGCGCCGATTTCGGGTACGTAAACCAATTCCGCGCTGTTTTTTAACGTCCCCCTCGAACCGGTTTTCGAACACTCCTCAGGAACAGTTGGCAACAAGGTTGGAATTTCAGCCGTCAGATCGATTTCGACATCAACGGCCCTCAGAATTTCGCCCAAAAAAGTTGGAATTTGGGGCGTCGGATCGAATTGTAGCTGAACGGCCGAGATCTGACGCGAATTTCGGCTAAGGGAGAATTACGCGACTAGCAGAAACAGCGCTCGACATTTCTACAGTCGATTTTATTCGCAGTAAGTCGACCGGCGCCGAGTTTTTTATTACTTCTGTCGCAAATCTTCAGTTAAGCGTCAAATGGATGAAAATGGTGCTCCTCGCGAACCAGTCGGCAGCCGCCACAGCAGCAGCAGACGCAACAGCGAATACTGCAGCGACGGTAGCAGCAGCAGCGGCGACACCGACACTTCACCAAGCAGCAGCCACAGTGAATCTTGAGGCGGCACGTCCGAGGATACCGGAGGCGTTTAATCCGAATGCGAGAGACGCCGACGTCCGTCGATTCATTGCGACACTCGAAATTTATTTCGAGGCCGTTGGCTGTACGACCCCGACACACGATGCAATGAGGATTCGGCTCGCAGCAACACTGTTACGAGGCCCAGCGCTCGAGTGGATTTACAACAGTAAGGAGATCCGAGGCGAGGGGTCATGGACGCAGTTTCGGGCAGCTTTAATTCAACGTTTCGAACCGATCAATTCCAGCTACATGGCGCGGCAGCAGATTCATCGGCATAAGCAGTACGGCAGTGTAACACAGTACACGCAGCAGATGGAGAGCCTCTTCAATCGAATTACCGACCTGACCGAAGGGGAAAAAATCCAAGCGTATACTGAGGGGTTGAAAATGGAAGTACGACGACAGGTGATCGCTGCGAACTACAACAACTACCGCGACATGGTGTGTGCAGCAGAGAGATTCGATGCGCTGACGCGAGGCCAACCTGAGACACGACGCCACGTGCCGAACAGATCATTCGACACGAAGCGATCGGCACCACCCACGACCGCCGACCCGATGGATATCGACAAGATCGACGCGAAGCAGCGGCCGACAAAATGCGAATTTTGCGGCGCAGCGGGACATCGACTCTTGGCGTGTTGGAAAATGAAGAAGGCACGAGCAGCGCTACAGGGCAACAACAGTGCGGCACCCACGAAGTCAACAAACACGGCGACTTCGGAGAGGGCGAAAAAAGGAGGACATGATGGCGCGAATTCAAAACGTCACGACCGGCCGGCACCAGGGGAAATCGCCGAGACAAATGGAGGCTCCGCGAAACAAGACTCTGCACCGACCGGGAAACTCCAGCCGAACACCCACAAAAGTAAGAATTCGTTAAAGTTATCCTACAAAGATACTTTAACTAAGAATATTACTTCTCGTGATTTTCAAGCCTTCAGGGGAGATTTTGA